TGGGCATCGCAAGCATAGAGTCATAAGGGTTGATGATGTCACCGGAGTGAGACGGAACGAAGGGTGATACCATTCGGTAATGTGGACCATCTGGTGATGATGCGCAAAGAGCCTTTAGTATGGGGAGGAGTGCTCCGGGAATGGGGAGATCCTTATTAAGCTGGGCGTACATTAGGTGTACGTTGTAGTCTCCGATCTTGGAGTAGTTCATCGCACGTAAGGTTTGGTAGTACAGGAGTACTCCAAAATACTCTATTGACAATTAGATCATTTAAAAGTCTTAAACATAAAATTAATAGAAATAATTTTCTCTTCTATTTTCAATTCTACGTCAGCACTTTCTGATTCTTGTTAATTCGGCCATGTTTTTCCAAGCAACAGTTCTGGATTTCCAGCTGCAAGATTCAATCATTTCCAAGCATTTATTTCTATAACTGGACAAGTACGAAAGGATAGTAGACTCTGTTGCATTCTGTAAGCTTCCCACTATTGCATTAGACTTGAAGATACTCTTCAAGGATTCTGTAGGACGTTTTTTACGTAACCTGCAAATCTCTGGTCACTGTAAGCTTGCTCATTACTGCTGTTGAAGGCTGAAGTCATGCATGATGATGATAATTTTATATAATATTTTTGCTTTATTAGAACAAGCTCTTCCATTACCCTTTATGATATTGAACAATTTATCTGATCATATACTTTTTCTTCATGCATCTAGTCAGAAAGATATGTACCAAACATACAATGGTATAATATCTCATTATACCACTTTCCCTTTGGAACATGGTAATACACTAACAAGGACAATAACTCCGGGATTTTTCAGATATAATTAATACAAATATTAAATCATTTATTTGTTTGTTGGATTCGAAATAGTCTTGCGTAGTAAAATCGATTTATCTATTTATCTAGGTATAATCAGTAATTTTTAGAATTTAAAAAGTTAGAAGTCAGTAATATCTTAATACCCTAGTTGCACTATCCAAAAGCGAGAACTTATGAATTGTGACTGCTCTGCACGCTAACCCAGCGGTTACTATTATAATTGTCTCCCAACCGCTGTATTTTACCGTTATACATTTTGAAAATGTATTTGATCGATAGTAGAACACACTCTTAGATACAATGGTTGTGGTTGATTGAAATAGATTATTGTGGTGATTTCAATTAGATGTGAACTTCGCTCTCCTTAAATAAAATTTGGTAGTATAGTGGGAATCCGTCCATTGTGTGTCCCCTCTTGATAAATATGTCACAGCAAATTTGTGTGAAATTTTGATCAATTGATGATAATGTGAATAACACATTCAAATATTCAAATATATAAATTAAACACATTTTTAAATAGTTAATGTCTACATACTTTCTTATATTTTGTCTGCTGTTGTCGCTTTTATTTTTTGGAATATGAAAACAGGAGAATAATGACGGATAATATTATGTTTATGAATATTAAGAATTTAGTTAAAATAACAATAGTTGATAGTAACGAAGATCAATAATTTCGGGACAGTCTGTGTAAAACTTGTGTGATACATAAATTATCGCACAAATAAAATATGGTTTACCGTATCTGTTCAGCTCTGTTAATATTTGGTAGTACAAATAATCACCAATCAGAATGGTCCTCCTTAAATATTTTTTTTTGGATCAGACGTAAAACTAACTAATATATTATTATATAACTTATAAGTATTAATAATTAACTAACTTGTTCGTTCCCAGCTTGCAGGACGTTTAATTCTACCATGTTCGGAACTTGTGCTTTAAAAAATAAAAAATTGAAAATTACTTTCAGTTACTTTTTTTCTGTTAATGGTAGGAAAATGTATGAGGAATATCTTATGAATTTTCAAGTATTTCGACAAGTGAAAAATATTTTATCAGCAATAATTTAGAAAAAACGAATAAATATCGAAATTTTCTGGTGCTTGTAAATAGCTCTAAAAGAGAAGAATTCAATGGTGTATAGAAACTGTATAATTATAATTAAATGTATTTTGGTTTAATTAGTTTCTTATAGTTACCTTAAAAAAACTAAATCGACTTTGTCAAAAACTTCAGTGGACAAATTGGTAAATTCATAATAGTTTTGCGTTGACATGACAAAACTTCCGAGGAATTAAGATTATTATGCAGTTATTTGTGAACCTCATAGATTTCTTTATATTACGAGGCATGTCCAGAAATTAAGTGTACTCAATTTTTATAGGCTTCAAAAAAATGTATTAAAAAAAAAAATTACGTGGTTACATTAATATATTTGTGTGCTATTCTTCTACATAGTCGCTATCTCTTTCATTACAGGTTGTGAGACTGCAGAATCATTTTTTGATGCCTGACTTGTAGAGCTCTGCCGGCACCTCCTTTGTCCACTTGTCGACCGCCCTCTTCGGTTGAAAATATTTTTCCAACCATGCACAAATGGGAGTGAATAAACGTTAATCTGATTGCACCTGGTCAAGGGGGAATACGGGGGGTGGTTTGAAACATCCCATCCAAACCAGTCCAACAATTATTTCTTGACATTTGTCGTGTAGAAGGCAGACTCCACTTGTTAACAGACCCCTCTTTTTATTTTAAATCGCTAAATTTTTTAAAATCACAATAACTCGCTGCGTTGATGGTCTCCCCCTGAGATTTATATTAAATCAATATGATGCCTTTGTGGTCCCAAAACACTGATACCATGATTTTTTTTTGATGAAATGGTAGTTTTGAACTTTCTCTGGTTGAGGGTGAAGTGGTGTGACACCACTGTTGAGACTGTTTCTTGGTTTCAGGCGTATAATGTGCAACCGATCGACATGTTTTATAAACAAAATTCCTGTGACCACAGTTGTAAACGTACTGAACTCGTTCTGGTCTTGTTTTATAAGAAAAGGAGTAAAGCTATACAACAATGTATTCAACGTAGTGAAAATATATTATTTACGGTCGTGAGAGCCTCAGTACACTTACTTTCTGGACATGCCTCGTATATTTAATTTTAAAGAAAGTTAAGAGTATTTATTTTGTATTAATATTGATGATTAGATTATTTTAATAATAGATTGATTACAAGTAGAGAACTATGTTTCATTATGAATATATGGTTGTATTTATTTATTTATTTATTTATTTATTTATTATTCGTTATACGGGCTTAGCCCTTTTTGACATTACAATATATCTTATATCATGTTAGAAATTTTACAAAAGACAAAACTAAATTAAATATATCCAGCTTACATTAATATTAAATTTAATTATCTGATGACAACAAAAACTTAAACATTAAACAAAAAAAACTTTAACTTAAATTTGTATACCTATTAAACATTTAGCAATTCGTCGAATGATGGTTCTGCATTGGCAGACGACATTAGGCGTCTTAAAGGCGTATTAATATTGATATTAATTATTATTCAGGGAGCTTCTGTCATAATACAGAGATTAAATTTGTTATATCTCTCACTCGATTTCAATCACTATATATTTCTAACTTGGAGTAACTGGTCCTTCTGGAACGGTGTCATTCAGTTGCAGGCCTGCATTCAGGTTTGTATAATTCATTTATTTCCTCAGCGTCTTCTAGTATTTCCCGTATTGCCATTTTTTTCTTCGCTCCTTCAAATAAAGTCTCTATTTGGCGACATTTCTCTACTAATTCGGGGGATATATCAGTCCTGGACACACCTTGGTAATTTCTAATTGAGCTTTTACCCTCCATCATTGATATTTCGAATGCTACTGTGACATATACCCCAAGCTTTGCGTGCTTTGAAGGCTCTCCGGAGGGTAAAGAAATTTACAGTAAAGAGCATCCTCCCCTAATGACTTAAAGACAGTTACTGCAGCAATTAGGTTAGCATTATGTTTTGCTAATCCATTCCATGTCAGAAGTATCGGATTTTTGAGCAAGATCCAGTCGTAAATGACTGAGAAACCTGTAAATTCAGCCATTGAAAAGTATACCATTGTTATTCTTTATATAGAGATAAGTGAGTGCCTTGTAGTTTAGGATAGAGCTCTGATTGCCTTGAATGCTGTAGTTTAAACGGGAATGCGGATGCCATAGTCTGATTAACTTTGTCGGCAAAGCCGAGCTCTGGAGCCTGAATAGCCAGTTATTCTTCAACTTCCGAGAACTGACACGCGGCTGAGTAAGCATTCCTTCGTTTTCTCAACCAACCATCCATATTAGCACTGGTGAGGCGCTTGGTGATGAAGTTCCAATCAATGCCAATACAGACTGACAGAGGCGTGGTCTGCATCTAGATCAATATTTTTGTTGATACATTTCAGGGAACCAATTTCTTATCCATTAATTGGTGTCATCTTCATTATATCTCAAAATCTCCATTCCAGAATCAATCAAGCTTGTACGTATTTCCTTGTCCAAATTTCTGAAGCTTCCTCTACAGATATTCACATAAATGATAAATCAATCTGATTCTTTGAATGGGAGATCTGTAGATGCGATCTAAAACAATTATATCATATAATTATATTCTAAATAATCCTGTTCAGTGTGAGGGATACTGAAAAACGGCACTGACCATTTCCCACCCTTATATTCTGCTATGGATTTAGTAATGATATAATGAGTTGGGCTATCTTCTCTACTGTTACCACAGATGAGTATGCATCTCACTGTGTCATTAGCCCGCTGAGTCATCTTTGAATGTATATTAAGTTGAAATGTCTTTAAACTAAGAAATGGAAAAGTTTAACTTTTGCTTGCAACCATGTTTAATTTAGTATAATCTATATTTTGAAATATAGACTTCAACATTTCAAAAAATTGACTTGTGTTTTTTAATTGTTTATTTTGTAGATATTCCCAGAATTGATATGGCAATTTATTATCTTCAAATAAATTGATCATTAATTATTGGTAATATTATATTGTAAATGATTTATTAACCTAAAGGTGACTACCGCGGTATATGCACTATGCCGGTAGAGACGAATCGGTTTATAATTCATTAAAAATCAAATTTTGGTACTACGACTTAGCCAATCATATCCCTGGATTTGTTAGGGTCTCTACTATGCTGGGGATGAGTTTTGTTGAGTAACAGTAGCACACAGTAGTGGTGAGGTCGAGTTGTCCAGAAAATGGTACTTGGTGCAGGATTACGAGGGTAAAATGCTCGTTTAGCCACAACTTCAAGTGCAATTCGTTTAATAGGCGACCTAAAACACTTAAGTGGTATAGAGTAAGTCATCTGGAGTCGAATTAAATCATTTTCAAAGCAATAGAACAAAATTTGAGATTTTTAGTAATTTTATTTCACACTATATGTACGCCATACTATAAAATGCACTACCGCGGTAGATACCTTTCGGTTAATAAATCATTAAAAATCAAAATGTTGTACTACGACCAATCATATCACCGAAATCTTTAGGTTATCTGGTATGCTGGAAATGCATTTTAGATGCATACAATTAGCTAACACAGGTGGTGGGGTCGACTTGTCAAGCAAACGTTACTTGGTGCAGGATTACGGTATATTGCAGTATATGCCAAAAATAGTTAAAAACACATGGTTGGTTCCAAAAACATAACAACACATGCCCCCCATAAGATAAAAAAAGTGATCTCAATTATCACCAAAAAACCATACATAAGAAACAGGAGTTAATCAAATGTCTTAATTGTACCAAAATATATGCAACTGAAAAACAATTGAAAATACACAATACTGATGCACATTTACTCTTAAAACCATACAAATGTGCATTGTGCGAACTATCATTTGGTATGTCAATAGCACTCTTCCGACATCGTCAAAAAGTAATACATTAAATGTATGTAACACAAATACAGTTTTATAAAAAAAACAAATCAAAGACATATAGAAAGGCCACATATGAAATTGATTCTTCTAGTAATAAGATATTCAATTAACGTATAATTATGTTCGATAGTTAAAAGGAATTTATTAATAAAAACTTTTCTACCTTGAACAGTCAAACTACAGTCAACTCTGTAACTATATTATAAGACATGCTCCTTCCAAAAACTCCCTCATCCTATATGAGTTATTAGCAGATATTTCATATCTATAAGATTTTTATTTAATTCTTGTTATAGTATTGATCAAGATAATGCTTCGCATTTGATTTAATGTGATAATGATGAAATTATGCTACTGTTTTTGTGTTTTTAAAATGTTGACATCAGTCTTGCAGCGTCTTGCAGTATTTCAGCAGTACTCTCGGGCGACATGGTCAATAATTAATGATGCCTATTATTAGAAAAGATAAACATTTTAACCATGACAAGCACAAAATAAAAATTGGTAGATTGTGATGAGGGAACTACATGATCTATGGTAATCTGAAACCACATATACCATGGTCATCATTAGGGCCCTGATTTTTATGGGGATGAGTTTTGTTGAGTAACAGTAGCACACAGTAGTGGTGAGGTCGAGTTGTCCAGAAAATGGTACTTGGTGCAGGATTACTATGGTGATTACCGCGTTTAGCCGCCACTATAAGTCCAATTCGTATACTATATTATATACTATGGTACTATTTAGGGGTAGGTAGGAATTTTTGTAATAAAATGGTCAATAAATTAAGTTAAAGCTAAGTTAATTAAACCAACAAACTAGTAAATTAAAATTGTAAAATTATTATATTTAAATTACCTTTTTTTTGTGAAATAGTGATCTATTTTTTAATAGTTATATTCATAAGTAATTACTATTGTTATGTGAGTATGTATTTAACTGTAGATCTTATTGAAGTTATACTTCTTTACGCCCGGTAGTGAGGAAAAAAAAAGCGAACGGGCGGCGCGTACGAACGGGCGGCCGTACGAACGCGAAAGCGTACATGTCCGTAAATAAATAAATATTGTCATGGTAATGTTGTTTTATTATATATTATAATATATATATATATACATATATATCTGTATATATAAAACAGTAAGCTGATTGATTGCTATCAACGCACAGCTCAAACCATTGGACGGATCTGGCTGAAATTTGTTATACAGTTAGCTATTATGATGTAGACGTGCGCTAAGAAAGGATATTTCGAAATTCGCATTTTAAATAGGTGCTCAAACAGGGACATTGAGATTCAAGATGGAAATTGGAAATTTTATTTTTATTTATTAATAGTTGCCATTGGTTACAGTCTACATTAGAAATTAGCATTTATTTATTGGTTGTCATTGGTTATTCGGGCAGATCAGGTACAAGCTTGCATCAAATCAAATTATTGAACATTGCCTACCAGGGTGGCTGAGTTGCACTTACCTCAGCAAGTTACACCCAAAAGGAGTTCAACAATCATCATTTTTTTAAGAGTTGTGATTTTTTACGAGCAACCAAATTTGTTATATTAATTCACCGTATTATATCAAAATAAACTTGGTATAACTTTGATAATTTAGAGTTAAATCATACACTTCCGTCCAAACAGCACGGGGTCCGCGATCTACCGCAGGTAGATTGCCTACCTGATAATGTACTGCTGCGATTCAGAATTTTTATTCCGGGCAACGGAAAAGATAAGATAAATTTTGAACACCATACACCGAATATTGAATAACGAATTGAACAAAGTTTGAGTCATAACTCATATTGAGTTGATACATTTAAAGGGCGACGAAGTGCACGGGATCAGCTAGTATTATATATTATAATCGGGCCATACTAATTAATATGAATAATTAATGATCGATTATTATTTATTTTTATTATTATTATTAGTATTCACTCACAAATCTATTGTCTGGATAAAAACAATACTACAAACAATTATCCATCGATCTGTAGAATAAAAATATAAAAAAAATAATAAAACTATCAACAATAAATAATTCCGGATACTTCTCATTTTTTAAATTAATTAATATTTTTTTCTTTCTTTTTCACTCACTCACGTGTACCATTCAAAAGAAGTTTAACTTCCCGCGCGCGTACTGGTAACACACATGGTTTTTTTTTTGTACATCTTTTTCAAATTATACCTTTTTACCATAGGTAATGTATTTCTATAAATGTTACATTGTTGTCTGCAGAATGATATTGAAATTGGGAGAAAATATATATATTTTTTTTTTGTAACCAGAAAGTAATGAGTTACTTTTCTATTTTAAAAGTATGGTAATTTCATTACAATTTTATTTGAGTTACGAGTAAAGTAACTATGGATGATATTAAATTTGAATTCAACGATATAATATCATTGTATAAGAAAAACGATTCTGAGCGGAGACGGTATGTCGGTCTATGTTTAAGACATATATATGATATCTATTATCTATGGTATAAAACAAAAAATTGACCTTTAATAGGTAACTATAATAAATTCCAAATTAATCATATCACAATATCCATTAGGTACTTATAACGCGTTATACATAAAAAAAAACCGTGATACTATCATAGATATATAATAGTACACTTTAGAAGTTTCAAGTACCCACGAATAATATTATTCAATCACAACAAAATAACTAAAATAGTTATTCTAGGTTTTTTTTTATGTAATTTCGTCCAAATTTGAATTTAAAATGTCTGTAAAAAATAACTGTGTCCATATATTTTTTAGATTTTTTGGTTAAAGTATGAACTATTTATGAGAACCTTTGTTTTGAATTTGCAATCCTTAGCTATAAAAACTGAACATTTTATAATTTATTAATTACAATGATTGATAATTTTCGAGATTTTGATACATTTTGTCAAAATTCGATCTTTAAATGCTTATAAAAAAAAACTGTGCCTATGTATTTTTAATATTTTTCAACTGATATTGTAACAATATATCAAGAGCCTTGAGTTAAATTTATCGTTATAATAACGAATTCAAATCTGTTTTAAAAAGTATTATCGATCAGTATGATGGAATGAAAATTGGATGTTTTGGCTAAAATAACTGTTTAATAATATATTATAGAAAATAGTATTTCATCAGGAACGTTTTTTCCCGACTAGCCCCGCCCTGTGCCATAAAAAACTTTGTTTCAATAAATGAAAATATTTTTATCGACAATACCTACTTAATTTGAATTAAATTCGAAGAAATTATTGATTGATTCCACTGAGACTTAAATTTATTTACCAATTTTTAGACTGCATATTTTGTATTTTACTGAATTCTTTATTAAAATAATTAATTTATAACACACTTATTATGTTAAATGTATTAAAGTATAATATGTGCAGCATTGGTAGATATAATAATGATAATGGAAAAGACGGTTTATTGAATGTTTTATTACTACTATTAAATACTACTATAAATAATTATTTTTTAGCCGTGCAATGGTAATTTAATGTATTTACAGTACTTTTTTTTAGAGTTACACAAAAACTAAAATTGGCTTTGTCGAAAACCGATTTTGGGTAAATATTTCCGTTTTTCTTTATTATTTTTTGTTTACTCGGCGCTTCCTGAATGCACCAAACTAGATTCACTTTCCCATCGGAAAAGATATTGAAGTTGAAAATCGAAGCATAATTTCGACTAAACTTATCGTGTAAACACACACAAAAAAAAAAAAAAAAAAACATTGTAAATTCAATGCATTCATCACTCATCTTAGAATCTAAAATATTGTAGGATCTACTATTTAGTATAAACCATTAAATAGGGATAGATTATTATTGTTTATTATTTACTACAATATTTTCAAGTACCATTTATTAGCCAATGTCCAGGCACTGCACACTGAGGTGTCATTTATGCAATATTTTTAATCTTGAAGACCTTAAGTTGGTTTGAACATTGATTGCGATTTGAGAATAATATACAGTGCACGGTGCAGCTGCTGGTGTTGAAATCATCGTGTCAGACCTACCTGGACCGTCGATCGTCCAGTGCTCAGTGTCCAGACCTCTCGCCTCACCAAGAAAAAAATGTTTATTGGCATGTACCTACAATTGTTTTAAACATTTTGGCACATGACCAGAAAAAGGTTCAACACTCATGATGCATTTGTGTACGGTCTTTTTCCCAATGAAATGTTTGGATTGCTATTGTATTTATTTTTATAACTTCATAGTAGAATATTTTATTCCCTCCACCTAGAAAATGTTCACCAAGTATGAGACTGACGCAGCTTATACATATTACATATTATACTATGTAAAATCGATTAAAATAATATAACTATGCGACGGTATGCGGATAACACCTATTGTACGATAAAAGGATTGTCGTATGATGATATGTCCTAAGGTATAACAAAAAAAAA